ACATGGTACGAGATATACAATAAAGCAACACCTTGAAACTATCGCTGAAGTAGTATTATTAAGTCTGACATGTACTCTGTGTTACCTGAAGATATGAATGTGGGCTTTCTGTATGGAAGTGAATCTCTAAGTACCTGGAACCAAGCACCTGTAATTGTTTGTGAGCGTGCACTTGTGCATGTAAAGAGAGAAAATGCTCAATAGTGGTTGTGGAGAGCCAAAGAGGCGCACCCCCCAGAGCACTGAGTCCAGCGCCGGGAGACCTAAAGCCCCAGACGCCCAAAGGGACCCTAAGAGCGAAGGCACCAAGGAGGGGGCGGCCCCGGAAATCAGACCCCCAAACCCCGAGCTCCACCAGTGCACCGGCAAGCTCCGACGCCAGCCAGCGGAGGAATAAATAAAATAAAAATGAAATAAAAAAAATAAAAATCTCACAATCTCAATCACGCCTACCCTCCCTTGTGCCCCCACTCGCACCACAGAAAAAAAAAAAAAAGTGGACACACATTTACACATAACACTCACATCTAATGATACCGGGACCAAAGACCCGGCGGTACCAGTGGTTGGTCCCGGGATTATCGAATGACCCAATAAGTGAACCTAAAATCCGGATGGGGGGGAGGGGAGCGGCGACAACACCACACCAACCCATCTCATTCCTGCTTAGAGCCCGGCCCCCCACCCCGCAAACGGACCGGACCGGATAATTCCATTTTATAAGCTTAATAAATATATTGATCAAACGTCATAATAATATGTTATGAACATGATAATTATATTGATGAAAAGTGATAATTCCATTGTATAAACGTGATAATTATATCGATTAAACATGATAATTATATATATATTATTATTTTTTTCTATTTGTTTTATTTCATTTTTACATTTAAAAACCACAAACTATTTTCCTGGAGAGAAAATCCTTTTTCATAAACAACTGAGACATAATAACTGGAGCAGTGAAAGTAGAGCTGCTGAGAGAAACCTTTATGATCCTCAGCCGTTAGCTCATGGTTTATTATGTTCTAAAGGTCTTGCCATATTCTCATGTTATTTTCATAATTTAGGGTTTTCCACAGTTTCATTGCTTGATAATTGATCCCCTGCCCCCTAAAATGAGCAAAGACAACGTCTAAATATTTTTTCTTAGTTCCAGTAATTTTAACTTTGAAGCCAAAAGTCGTTCAGAAAACGATCAACCTCCTCCTCTGCTGCTTTCTTTGTATTTCCAGATCAGGGAAACCAACAATAATCACCTCGTTTGTGTCCTTTGTCCTCTGACCTCCCATCAACCAATAGCTGTCCATACTGGTTCTCCTGGATGCAGCAACAGGTTGTGTTCCACTGAGTGTAATCTGTCTTAATATTTCCAGCCAAATCCACCAGTAGATTCCCTCAATGAAAATTCTTCATGCAATAATAAGGCGTTTTGTTGCTAGGCTTGACTTAATACCAGCGGTTGACATTAAGGATTTTTATCACTTGCCCTTCGGGCAAGTAACTTTCACATTTTATTTGCTCAGAAACAATTTTTACTTGCCCAGTATATTATATCAATGAAACATGTTTGTTTTTTAAATGTTTTTTGTAATTCAGTATTTTTTAAGTTTCCAGGTTCCTGGTGTGTCTCTGCATGCGTCAGATAATGAACTCCAGCTTACATTACCGTGTTAACATGCTTTTCAAACCTTCCTGCACATTCTTTTCAAACTAAACTTTGCTTTACAC